CACAACACTTGTAGGCGTACACTGGTGGACTGTATGATTGTACGCTTTAATTACACACCTGTGCTTTTATTCTTTGATTTCTACAGTAGATATCACAAGCTTAAGCTTAGCAAAGAACTTTAAAAGGCAAACTACAAAATATTTAGAATTTAACTTTAAGAGGTCAAAATGACCTAAAGAACACAGCCACAATAATTATCTTTTTCACTACCAATTAAAAATAGATGTGTGAAAAATAACTGGGAAAATATCAATACAAAACATAGTCAAATTAATCGTGTACAAAGTAAAAAAAAAAATGGTTTTTCATATGTTTGATTTTTCAACATCAGAGGTGTAGCAAGGAGTTGAGGCAAATGTAAATAGATGAGGCAAATTGAAATAGGTGAGACAAATTGAGATAGGTGAAACAATTATATGTGGTGAGGCAAATTGAAATAGGTGAGGCAAATTGAAATAGGTGATGCAAATTGAGATAGGTGAAACAATTATATTGAGATAGGTGAAACAATTATATGTGGTGAGGCAAATTGAAATAGGTGAGGCAAATTGATGTAGGTGAGGCAAATTGATGTAGGTGAGGCAAATTGAAATAGGTGAGGCAAATTGATATAGGTGAGGCAAATTGATATAGGTGAGGCAAATTGAAATAGGTAAGGCAAATTGAAATAGGTGAGGCAAATTGATATAGGTGAGGCAAATTGATGTAGGTGAGGCAAATTGATAAAGGTGATGCAAATTGAGATAGGTGAAACAATTATATGTGGTGAGGCAAATTGAAATAGGTGAGGCAAATTGAAATAGGTGAGGCAAATTGAAATTGGTGAGGCAAATTTAGGCAAAACAAGATGTGTAATTGTCTGAGAAATAAATTCTTGTAGAATTTTGAAGTTGCAGTTGCATTCCTTGCCTAGTGCCTTGCTACACCCAAGAATGTAAAATAACGGGATTGGTGTTTACAATAGTGTTTACAAATTGACAAAAGAATACTGTAAATCGAAATGAAGTTTGACATCTAAAAGTACATTAATGTCATTCTACAATTATTAAACATACTAATAGCTCTCTTAGTCATTGTACAGGCATAAAAGTAGGTAAAAGTATTTTTGGGCCACCATGTATAATGGAGCTGTTCATTAAATAAACAATATTAGTTAACCGACTTTCATAATTTAATATAGCATTTAAACATAGACATCTAAAATCGTTTATAATATTCGAGACAACAAATAAATGCAAGAATTACAAATTATTTGTTAAAACCTTCAAATATCTATCCATGAAGGTGTGCTTTAACAAAGGAGGTTGACACCCAGCAAGCAAGAGGCCTTCATTTGAAGCGAAATCATTTTATACACATGTACAATAATACCATCTTGCTAATGACAGTGTTCATCCTACTAACAAAATAAGCTGATAGAGCATTGTAATTAGAATCCATGCTAAATGTACTACATAATTCTATAGGATTTTGTCTCCATTGATTTTGTTAATGACAAACATACTGACACAGAAGATTTGGTTAAGTAGATGACAAGGAAATAACCCAGAATTCAAAGATGGACCCATCTTCATGTAAAGATATAGCGAGATGGTATCTTCTACAAAGATAGGTTCATCATTGAATTCTAGGTAATTTCCTCCTCTTGTTAAGTAGATAAATATTCAATCTAGACTAATGCTTTCAAGCCTATCAACAGTTAATTCAGAAATCCCATAATGCATCTGACTATTTAATGCCATTGCATTATGGGTATGAACATTTTCATTTTGCACTATGGGTACTAAATGCAGTTTAGATTACATTTGTTACATTGTACACCAAAAATATAATTTTCACATTATATGACACATTCAACTTATCTATATAATTTACTCAAATCCACAATGTGTACAGTTTCATATTATACCTATCTATTTCATGTTATAAGGGGGCTGAATCAAAATATCAATGCCTTTTCAAATGAAACACATTACATGTATACTCGATCCCCTCCCACAATCTCATATCAAAACAAAACATTTGTTTAACACAAGTAATGTATACTGGGATTCTTTCAAATTTTTCTATGTCTCTGTCCTCTACAGCATTTAGTGATATGCTGTGACTCATTAGGCTTTAAGCATGCAAATGTAGTTTCAGCATGCAAATGTAGGGTTTGAGCATGCTAATGTAAAACTGTGGGTGTGTTTTGACTGCTTCTATCACTGATGGTGAACTTTGATTAAAATAAGTATGATTTTCAATAGTTTGAAAATATTCCAGCCAGTTTTCGACTCAGATATAGAAATTGTTGTTTTTCTATTTGAAGACCTCACATGTAAGCAGTTACATTTGGAAATATACTTGATATTGACCCTGCCCTTTAAGTATATACACTACACAGACACGTCAAAGAATATAATGACACAAAACACGTCATACTGCATACCATATATGGTTTCGCTTGACTCAGCAATATGTTCTAAAAAAGTATACAAACAAATAAAGTTGTGAACAAAAGACATGTCACAACATGCAGACATGTTACAAAATGTGGACATTTCATAAAATTTGGACATTCACAAAATGTTGACATGTTACACAATGTGGACATGTTACAAAATGTGGACATGTTACACAATGTGGACATTCACAAAATGTAGACATGTTACACAATATGGACATGTTACACAATGTGAATATTCACAAAATGTAGACATGTTACACAATGTGGACATGTTACACAATGTGGACATGTTACAAAATGTGGACATGTTACACAATGTGGACATTCACAAAATGTAGACATGTTACACAATGTAGACAAGCAAGACAATATAGACATGTCATATGACATTGGCATGTCATGGAATATATGTATATGTTGAAGACATGTCATGTATATGTCACATAACAAGAACATGATGTTACATACCAAGAATATGATGTCACAGAACACAAACATGTCATAATGCATACCATATATGGTTTCAAATGACTCCCTATTTCTCTTGATTCAACTCTGTGTAATAACATGGTGGTAATTTACATTGTGCTTTATAAATGAGACATATGTTATATAACACTGTGCTATAATATAATGACAGTGTGTGTTGCATACCACGGTGCTATATAACACTGTGCTATAATACAATGACAGTGCCACATACCACTGCTCTATATAACAGTGTGCTACATATCACTGTGCTACATAACATGGTGCTATATAACACTGTGCTATAATACAATGACAGTGCCACATACCACTGATCTATATAACATTGTGCTAAATAACACTGTGCTACATAACATGGTGCTAAATAACACTGTGCTATAATATAATGACAGTGTTGCATACCACTGTGCTACATAACACTGTGGTACATAACACAGTGCTACATAACATGGTGCTATATAACACTGTGCTATAATACAATGACAGTGCCACATACCACTGATCTATATAACATTGTGCTAAATAACACTGTGCTACATAACATGGTGCTAAATAACACTGTGCTATAATATAATGACAGTGTTGCATACCACTGTGCTACATAACACTGTGGTACATAACATAGTGCTATAATATAATAACAGTGCTGCATACCACTGCTCTATATAACATTGTGCTAAATAACATTGTGTTTTATAGTATTATGTTACATAACAGTGTGCTATATAACAATGTGCTACAATGAACACTGTGCTACATAACACTGTGCTATAAAACACTGTGCTATAAAGCACTAATTTATAATAACATCCTACTATTTACAACATAATTTACTTCTATATACATGAAAAATTGAAAATCTATCATCCAATGTGCCGCAATGTTTTTTTTAACAGTTTCTGACTCTACTCAGCCAAATCTAGATGATCCTCGATACTTCTTGCTTAAAACATTCAATTATACGGTTTCTTAAAATCAATTTGCCTTCATTGAGAACTTAACATTCGTCATTATAATATGGCCAATTAATCCAGATATTTGATAAAGGAAGTCTTGAAGTTGTTCTAAATTAACTCACATGGCGACAAAAAAATTTAATAATGACGCACACTTATGGTAGTGAATAATTATTTATAATAAATGTATTTGTTAAGTACCCCTTAGTTTTATAACTTAGTATTAAATTAAATAAATAAACATTATAAGCTAGCATGTCGCAAATAAACAAAATGCATGTTTTTACATGAAATAAGCAAGAGCATATATGTTACATAGATTTCTCTCAAAATTATGAAAATACATACATTTACAGGGTGTTCAATAAGTGATGATAAAAAGACTAACTTACACGAGACATATGAGGGTAATACAATTTAAAATTAGTGCCTGTATTACTTGATTCAAAATCTCTAAAACTTATACATGCTTTTGGATCATCCTGTAGATAGAATGTGGTATAAATTTCTCCGAAAATAGAAATATCTAAAAAAAAAGTTCAATTTACAGATAACTTATAACTTCAATTGGAGCAGTAAATTTTTTGGGAGAAATGACTTTTAGAAGATTAGTCTAGATTATAGCTTTATGATTATGGATACCAAAAAAGTTCAAGTTGCACCAGAGAACAAGGCATCTTTTATTTACATATTTCAATGCTATCAGACATCTTGAATTAGAAGTAGAAATATAGAGTTGAAGTTCAGAGCAAGTTTTTGAAAAAACTGATATTTCAGAAACCTTATGGCTCATAGCGTTCGTTTTGTCGAAGAATGTGAAAGAATGTGAAAAAGTTTGCGATGAAATTACAAAGACTTTAGAAAAATTATTGTTCAAAGTGGATTGTCACATTTTCTATTTGAAAAAATGTACACATCTAATTTATATTCCATTTAACTGCACAATTTTGTTTGGAAAACATACTTTCTAATTCAAAAGGTAAATAATATATACATCAAGTCTACAGGTAATATCAACAAACTTCAAAGTTTACAGCATGTCTGGAGTAAGAAGTATACAGGAGTAGATTTCTTTACATTTAAATTTTATTAAACTTTTTACACGGGAATTAAGTACATGATCTAGTTACAATTAACATGTAAATAACATCTCTGTACACATTGAACATTTTGTCAAAAAATATTATTTGGTTTCATTTTTGAATTGGCCGTTCCACGCTTGATATAGGATTTATACTTAGCAACCTGTGTTACATTACTATAAAATAATGCCAATAATGTAGCATGATTGTTACCATAGCAACCATTGTTGCCCCCTGACGACCAATCAATTAACCCCTGATATTATCCTGATTCCCCTACTATAGGATATAACAGACATTGCCCAAGCAATTGTATGTTGCACCTTATAACCCACTTGTATCCCTAGCAACCCTTGTGCCAAGTAACTGCTTAGCAACATTACATTTCCCTAACAACCATTATCCCCCTAGGTACACAACTTGTGTGTAGCCAAGCACCTTTAGAAATAGCATGAATTCCACAGGCACTCAAAGAAAAAAGACCACTAAAATCGAAATAAAAAATAACTGTTCCAAAAATATTGATAGCTCCGGAATTGAAATTTCCAATTTTAAAGAGCTCCCAATATTTGTGTAACAGTTTCAAATCATTAATTACTTTTGTAAGGGCCAGGTTGATAAAGAGTCTGTCCTTTGTTGATGCGCCTGTCATTAGGGCGGGAATTCTGAAAAGACTGCCCATTTCCTCCTCGTCGGAATTCAATGGTTTGACCAGCTACCACATTTTGGGGTACTATATTTGGGTTTGCCATATTTGGAGCTGCCATATTAGGAGCTGCCATATTTGCTGCTGGTATAGATGCTCCTGGAAGGGTTAAAATGCATTTCATTATTCATTTGGGCAAGGAGTTAAAAGTAGCGAGATTTTGAATCCAGCTTCTGTTTTTCTGAGGTCCAAATTTAAGCTTATTTTAAACGTGACTTGTTGATGAAGAATTTGACGCATCATCAAAGGAACCGTAATCGTCATCGTCAGCAAAATGAGTTTTTCACACCACCTCTTAACCCATGATTTATTCTTGTGTTTCAAATACAAGTTTGCTGAGATCAACAACCTAAAAATCAAAATACAGAATATGTTGTATGTTGAATAAATAATTTTAGAAAAAACAGAATTTAAACCTGTTGGGACTGTTTTGAAGTTACAAAGGATTCATTCATAGGAAATATCCTTCTTCCAGAATAATTGATAAATGTGTACTATCACACTCAATATTCATTTTTTGTTGTGCATTTTTTACCCACCTAGCTGAGCTGGTATCCAGGATAAGACTATTGTACATTATTTACTCACCTTGCTGCTGGTATCCAGGACAAGACTATTGTGCATTATTTACTCACCTTGCTGCTGGTATCCAGGATAAGACTGATGTGGATTATTTACTCACCTTGCTGCTGGTATCCAGGATAAGACTGATGTGCATTATGTATTCACCTTGCTGCTGGTATCCAGGATAAGACTGTAGTGGATTATTCACTCACCTTACTGCTGGTTTGAAGGATAAGACTGTTGTTCATAATTTTATAATATTCACCTTGCTACTTGTTTCCAGGATAATACTATTGTGCAATTGTACATTATTTACTCCCCTAGCTGAGGTGGTATAAAAGATAAGACTGTTGCGCATTATTTACTAACCTTGCTGTAGGTATCCAGGATAAGACTAATATTTACTTACCTTGCTGCCGAGCTGGTATCCAGGACAAGACTGTTGTACATTATTTACTCACTTTGTTGCTGGTGTCCATGATAAGACTAATATGCATTTATTTTATTTACTCACGTTGCTGCTGGTATACAGGATAAGACTGTTGTACATTTATTTCATTTACTGACCTTGCTGCTGGTATCCAGGATAAGACTGTTGTACATTTATTTCATTTACCGACCTTGATTCTGGTATACAGGATAAGACTGTTGTACATTCATTTTATTTATATTTACTTACCTTGCTGCTGGTATACAGGATAAGACTGTTGTACATTTATTTCATTTACTGACCTTACTGCTAGTATCCAGGATATGACTGTTGTACATTCATTTTATTTACTCAACTTGCTGCTGGTATCCAGGAAAGGACTGTTGTACATTTATTTCATTTACTCACCTTGCTGCTGGTATCCAGGATAAGACTGTTGTACATTCATGTACTGGGCTGTGACACCAGGTTGCATTGTTTGAAGGGAAACTTGTGGTTGCACATACATACAGGATAAGACTGTTGTACATTCATCTTATTTACTCACCTTGCTGCTGGTATCCAGGAAAGGACTGTTGTACATTTATTTCATTTACTCACCTTGCTGCTGGTATACAGGATATGACTGTTGTACATTTATTTCATTTACTCACCTTGCTGCTGGTATCCAGGATAAGACTGTTGTACATTCATTTTATTTACTCACCTTGCTGCTGGTATCCAGGATAAGACTGTTGTACATTTATTTCATTTACTGACCTTGCTGCTAGTATCCAGGATAAGACTGTTGTACATTCATTTTATTTACTCACCTTGCTGCTGGTATCCAGGATAAGACTGTTGTACATTTATTTCATTTACTGACCTTGCTGCTGGTATCCAGGATAAGACTGTTGCACATTTATTTTATTTACTCACCTTGCTGCTGGTATCCAGGATAAGACTGTTGTACATTCATGTACTGGGCTGTGACACCAGGTTGCATTGTTTGAAGGGAAACTTGTGGTTGCACATACACTTGCTGCATTTGAACTTGCATTTGTGCCATATCCTGAAAACATCACAAAATACAAAATTGAAAGAATGAATATTTACATGCATTTGTGCCATCACAAAATACAAAATTGAAAGAATGAATATTTACATGCATTAGTGCCATATCCTGAAAAATGTCAAAAATACAAAATTGAAAGAATGAATATCTACATGCATTTGTGCCATATCCTGAAAAACATCACAAAATACAAAATTGAAAGAATGAATATTTACATGCATCTCACTGAACAGTATAGCACACAATGAGGGATTGATTTATACTGTTTTAGGAGTAAATGAAATAAACAAGCATTCGTATGACAAAATGTCACCACTTGATTGCGCAGAACGGGGGTGAAGATATTGCTCCAAATCTGAAGAGGATTATAACACGCCTACGTGTGATCATTGTATGAATTCCAAGTCCATCTAACAAGGATGTTTTTATATCTGAGACATTACACATCACAATTTCAATCTGCAATAATTTGAGAGGCACCTAACCTCAATAAATTTTATATTTGATAACATATCTCAATTCTTTTTCAGAAAAAAATGGAAACAGATGGATGATGTTTGATACTGATACTGAACTTCTCCCATGAACTATGTGAACTGTATGTATATATGTATAGCTTTATTGCCCTAAATTAATTAGGAGATACATATTATTTATATGCAATTATATGGTATAATAAAATTAACATTTGAAAAAGAACAAACTATATAGTATGTAGTATGTAGTATTTCAATGAATGTTACCTGTTTGGTGAGGGGATGTATATCTTCTATTGCTATCTGTTCAGTGTTGCCATAGTCTGTGTAGGTGACAAATGCTGTTACACCATCTGGACCTAACTGATGGATTGTAGCACGATAGAACTGAAATGGAAACACTATTTATGAACATGTTGTCCACAAGGACATTGGTGTAAGTTATTAACATAAATACAAACTAAACAACAGCAACGCCAAAGCGTAGCAAATCCCATCGAACAGCCATTGCTGGCATATTTACAAACAAAGTATATAGCAAAAATGGCAGCCATTTTTCAAAATGGCCACCTTCTACCAAAAGTGTCATTAGATAGTAAGCCTTGTTTATAGTATTCACATACCAAATATGAACAAAATCGCTCCACTACTTTTCGAGTTATAGTAAAATACGTAAAAATGGCGGCCCCTTCTACCAAAAGTGTCATTAGACAGTGTGCCATGCTTATAGTGTTCACATACCAAATATGAACAAAATCGCTCCACTGCTTTTCGAGTCACAGCAAAAATCGTAAAATAACGAGTAAGGGCCGCCATTTTTCAAGATGGCTGCCATGTGTTTCTTTAATATCTACATTTCTAGCTTTATTAATGTCCTATATAATTTTTTTACATTTAAAACATATTGCTATTACAGTTTTACATATTGCACCTAAATTAATGTAAAATCAGCACAAAAATGGCCGCCATTTTTAAATGAGCGGCCATTTGAAAATCGGCTTTCGAGCAGAACTTCTACCCCCATAGGGTATATGTGTACAAAATATGAACAAAATCGGGCCAACGGTATTTGAGTTATTGCCCGGACGTACATACGGTAGAAAGATGGAAGGAGGCATTCCCTATATCCCTCCGAACTTCGTTCATTTCCACTCACAATTTATGAAAGAATAAACAGTTATTTGCTTAGTTTTGTATCTGTTAAGATGCAGAATTAAATCCTAATTTAAATTTCTAAATGAACAGATGGCACCACCTACCTCCTGATCATCGTAATACTTTGCAGACACAAAGTCGCCAACTTGGAGTTTCTTCAAGAAAGCTTTGTGCTCCTAAAAATGTGTAAATATGTTTAAAATAACATCCACTCGATACATTATGTCTATGTGTACAAATGATTTCATAATAGTCAATTAGAACAACAGAAATACATTTGATGATTGTTTGAGAGGCATATACCTTAGTCAATTGATAAACTTCATGAAGGTGATGTACATGAGAAAATATGATAATACATTCTTGAACAACCATAAAATATTCATATACTAATACTATACACTTTGTAATTCTGACACTATTTCGTTTTTAGTGATTTTGAAATTTAAAAAAAAGTTACTTATTTTTGCTATTTTAGGTTTATCAAATTTTTTAGATAGATTAAAATTTATCCTGCTCCCATTTTTAGGATAATCACAGCTACCAAAGCATTACAATAAATCTTTGTGTTCAATAACTTCTTGACTAAAGGAATCATATTTTCTAAATTCTTTAAGGTGGGGGGAGGGGTAAGCTTACCTCTGGAGAAATAGATATGCCATTTTTCTCTGGCTGTATCTGAACATATTGTATGGCACCATTCTCCGGAGACTGATACTGCATGGTACCATTTGTGTCGATTACTCCTGAACTTGTTGCCACCATGGCACCCTCCTGTGGCACAGGGTAACCTGGGACTTGTGGGTAAGATGGGGTTCCATTGTAAATCTGTATTTGTTGATAGGTTTGTCCTCCATAGATTATTTGGTTGCCTCCTTGGTTATAGGCAACCTGACCCTGTTGCAATGCATCTTGGGTAATGTAACCTGCTGTGGCTGGATATTGCTGAGGTTGCTGAAACATCTGCACTTGGAACCCTGGGGGATGTCCTTCTTGGCTGTAAGCTGGCTGAGCATAAACCTGAAAATTTTTGAGAATCATCAATTTTGATGTTTTACTTCAAACGGTACAATTGGTCAATATTGTCGCTATCATAGCTGACTATCTAACTGCTCCGAGACATGACTCACCAAAGGCAGATTACCTGACTAGTCTGACTGTTTCTGAGACATGACACACCACAAGTAATTACCTGACTAGTCTGACTGTTCTGAGACATGACACACCACAAGTGAATTACCTGACTAGTCTGACTGTTCTGAGACATGACACACCACAAGTGAATTACCTGACTAGTCTGACTGTTCTGAGACATGACACACCACAAGTGAATTACCTGACTAGTCTGACTGTTCTGAGACATGACACACCACAAGTGGATTACCTGACTAGTCTGACTGTTCTGAGACATGACACACCACAAGCGAATTACCTGACTAGTCTGACTGTTCTGAGACATGACACACCACAAGTAGATTACCTGACTAGTCTGACTGTTCTGAGACATGACACACCATATGTGAATTACCTGACTAGTCTGATAGTGGGGGGAATTTAGTGGAAAATATTTCAAATGGTGATACAAGCAAATTTATTGGCTTAATCTGTTATTTAAACTATTTGGAAAAATTCTGTCCCTGTGATCGATCAAACTGAACACTATTTCAGGAAAAAATTCAAGATGGCTGCCGTATATGTGTAATTCAATACAAATAACACTCTAGATTCATATATAAAGATAAATATGGTTTAAAATTATATTGATTCAGTCCTAAAGCCTGTATATTATATCTAGAAATACAGTTACATTCATTAATGAGCTGAATTTGGGCAAAATGACTTTATATAGGGATTCTACAAGGTTCTATTTTGGGAGCACTCTTATTTTGCAACAACTTTAGTCATTAAACTTGTTTTCTTGAATAATGTTGATATTTCACACATAACTCAATCTGATATTTCAAGTTTACATGAAAACACTGTCTAACAAGTACAAGTTGGAAAATATTCAAAATTGCGATACATGCAAATTTATGGGCTAGTCAGTTATTTATGCAATAAAGAAAAATTCCATCACTCAAATCAGCCAAACCTAATACCATATTTGAGTTAAAAAATGACAATTTAGATTCATAGAGATAATATGGTTAAAAAATAGGTTCACTCAGTACTAAGACATTAGAAATGGTATGATCTTCTTTGATTTGAATTTTGGCAAAAAGAGTTTTATGGGAGTTCTTCAAGGTTCTATTTTGGCCCTCTCTGTTAGAACTTGAATTACTTTATAACATTCTCTAATACATTTAATATCTAAGACATAATTCAAGAATATATTTCAAGTTTGAATGAGAATATTGTCAACCAAGTATCAATGCAAACATTGAAGTAGTCTTCCAAGGTTATACCTTAGTCCATTATTATCACAATCTCGTAATAGTATGATGAAATAAGGGCAGGTAGACAAGAACTTATCAATTATACAGAATTAAGTGTGGAATTGCACAATTGCACTGTACATTTAAGTACAGATTTTTTACAAAAGCAAGTAAAAACATGTCTAGAGACTTGCTGGGTTTAGAGCCCCGTGCCGAGATGTCTACAGTGAGGTCAACAGTAAAGGCCAAATGATGTTGCAGCTATAACACAGCTAATAGCAGAAACAAAGCAACACAAAACCAACTTGCCAATTGTATGGCTTGATATAACTAAGACAGAAGTGTACCACACTAATGAACTCAACAGCTTTGAAGCATTATAATGTTCCTCAACATGTGATTGGCCTTGAGATAGAGCACCTTGAAGGTATTCAGTTGAGATTCTTGACTGAAACTATCACCACTGGTTGGCAGCCTTTAGAGAAGGGAATTACGGCAGGCTGCATATTACTATTCATGACAGCTATGAACATCCTTCTGAAAGGAGCCACAAGGAGTGCAATGAATTTAAAATGAGAAATGGTAACCCACATCCAACATACTAGTATCACATTTTCATGGATTGATTGGGTTACTCTGGCAAATGACAATGAACCAACCAACTAGGCAAGGCAGGAAGGCCTAAAAGAACATCCAACATATTGACCCAATTGTCACAAGTACTTCAAACTGCCTAAAGAGTCCTAAAGCAACATATGTGATTCAGGCAACAGATTGGTGACTAATTGTAATGACTATTACAATGAGACTCCTTTATTGCCCAAATGACTTGATTATCATCACATCAGAACAATATGATAGTCCCTTTCCTGGCTGTTAAATTCTGCTGGAGTTAACAGCAATGGAGTGGAACAAGGCTCTCTTAGAAATAGGCCAAACAGAAAAATGATGACTATGGCTGCATTGTGCAGAGCTGGCTGAATAACTGAGTGAGGTTTGATCAACCTGTTTTCCAACCTCTCTGAGTTTGTATGCAGCTTTAGGGATAGAAGCAGAAAAAATGGAAATTAAACTGACAAAAAAGACTAAAGCTGCTAATCACAACAAAACCTGAAGGACAATAGTGCCACAAGCAATGATACTCCATTGTTTAAACTCACGTCAAAATTCTGCAATTATTTTCTTGCTGTCAAAGTAATGGTGTTGTAGTTGTAAAACATGGTAAATACATTGATAAATCTGCAAAACTAACTCAGTACTCAATGTGGTTTTGGCAACTTAAGTTGTTTTTGGCAATTTACACAAATTGATTTTGTTGTAAATTAGTGCATTTGTAAGTGTAAAGAATAAGAAGGGTGTCAAAAGTGAACCTTAAAAGGCTCCTATGTAATAATGACTTTTAAAAACTGATTTTGTTGTAAATTAGTGAATGTATATTCCTTATTATAGAACAGTAGTACCAATGATGTTAAATTCATTAAATTAAATAGAGTATCCATTGTACCAATTTGTGAGTATACAAAATAATGAGGGTGTCAGGAATGAACCTTGCTTAACTCCTAATTATTTATTTTGACTTGAGCTCATAACAGTATTATGAGTTATGTGTGTATGTTGTATACTACAGCTCTAAACATAGAGATAAACATGTCTAATCATACTCTGATGAAATCATAGCTACCTCTCTATTTTATGATTATATTACATTACATAGTGATACATGTACTACATAAACATATAATCATACACATATATAAAATATGTTGTGTCCTATATAGTTATAATAATCATATTATAATATCCAGTTACCTTTGAAGATGGTCTGAATATACTTATTTGTTTTCTGTTGATACAGGTTTCTAACTTAATCCTACAAATTGATAAAATTGACCACAACTTCCTTTTTCCAATTTTATGGGGTAGGGCACTTTCAACGCTTTTTAAAAAATACTTTCAATTTTTCAATAATTGAAATCTTCATACTGTAGTATCAGGCAAAGTTATTAGATGTTTTTTAAATAATAATTAATGTTATTTGTCATTGCATTCTTTATTTGAACCTAGAAAATGAACATTATTTCCCATTTTACGCCAAATCGTCACACTTTGGGGCCATGGGAGAGGGCTAAAATTCAGTTTAAAAATATGAAAAAAATTCACATGACCATTTTCACCTTAAAGAACAACATTTCACCATGAGAGCATGAATTTTCCAAAAATAAAAAAATTTGCCCACCCTACATGTTATTTAAGTCATACTTTGTCGGCCATCTTGGATTTTGGGGAGAAGAAGTGAAATATTCAGTCGATCACAGGGACAGATTTTTAGAAAAATGTTTTAACAATCAGAAAAGCCAAAGTTTATACTTGTATCACCATCTGAAATATTCTGCCTAATATAGGGGTAAATTCCCCCCACTATGACTGTTCTGAGACATGACACACCACAAGTAGATTACCTGACTAGTCTGACTGTTCTGAGACATGACACACCATATGTGAATTACCTGACTAGTCTGACTGTTCTGAGACATGACAATTTCCTGTGACATGGAGGTCTCTTGTACTTGGCTTGAAGGTTGGTTTACTGCAGGAACAGTGCTCATCTGGAAACAGGCAATATAGGATTAAAACCGACTTAAGTACATCGATCAATATGGATGATGGGTGGGAGGGGGAGCAAGCATACATACAGACTGAACATACTACGTGGTTTTTGTATTGTGTAAATTCCTGTGTTTATATTTTTTATACTGTAGTTATATCAATGTGAAGGAAATATAAATAAATTGAAAAAAAATTATGGATGTAGATTCTACAATTAGTAGGGCTTTGCCATTACAAGTTTGAAACATTTTATAATCAGAACTCGCAATGGAATCAAACATGTGGAAACCCTTTTCGAAACATTGATATTTTTTCATAATTATATATGTTCCTGTGATTATATATTTTTGCAAGACATTAATCATGTGTGATCCTTTAAATGCGACTGATGTTTTTTTAATATACTTTCATAATAATCTATAAGGTAAATTTTTATCTAATTTCGAAACATTGATATGGTTAAAGCATTCCAGATGGTTCGCAAATTGTTTTGTCTCATCATGGTTGATGTTTTTTCATTGAGTGGATGCACACAATGGACTTCATGCAAGAAACACCAGATTAAGGTTTCAGTAAATGGTTTATCTAGAATACAAAGGAAAAGATAAACAATATTGTACCTTTTAGGTACGATAAAACATGCACTAAACTTTACTCTCAGCAAATTTCTCAGAGAAGACTATACTGTCATACTGTAGATTGGGTTAATTTGGCGCTACTTAATTTGGCGATTTTGCCATTTTTGGCATATTGGCGGCTATTTAATTTGGCGGAAATGCAAAAATGTTAAACTTACCCGCTGTTTGCAAATTACCATGTAAATGGGCATGTTTGGCTATGCTCATTTTTTCTTTTGAGGACCACTGGCGATATTCGCCACGTTTGTACGTTTTTGTGAGACCATTCTTTACATTTTACACCTCGATCAATGCTGCTACTATACCCCGTTTTTCCTTTCTAGTTCCCTGAGTATTAATGAGTGACTGACCAGTTTTGAACCAATTTATGAGAGACAGTTTTTCATATTTTTGGAAAAAACTAAACCGGAAGTGACCTAAATACACTAGACGAAATTCACTAGATAATTCCCGGGGATTCATTCTAAATTTTGGCGAAGATTTATATTGGCGAATTTTTCAATTTCGCCAAATTCGCCAAATTAAAGCGGGCGCCAAATTAACCCAATCTACAGTATGTCCTAAATCCATTTAATTTTAAATACTAGCATTTGAAATATTATTTCTATGAGTTAATTGGGTTAAGTTAATGGGGTAATTTGAAATGCTTGGGGCCAAAATGACATTTTTGAATATTAAGATCTACCCAAAACAAGACACAATGCAGTGATAAGTATCACACTTTTTATAGTAAAACTCAAAATGGCCACTAAGTGATTTACCCAGTATGGACAAAAACCTAATCAGATCTTGGCAATAGTCTGGCACTAGTCAACTGGGTAATGTAAAATCTTTGAACTCTCTATTTTTGTGTCTGTGTATCAGTGTACATAAAAGAGCACATGGCTCTTCCAATGAGGGTTTTAACGCTCTGTCATGTATTAATGAGGTAATGCTCCACTGAATATGGTGGTAATCAAAATATAAACGAAGTTCACTGTTGATTCACTGACCTGTTGCACTTGTGTAACTGTTACTTCACTCTGTCCTTCACCTTGATCTAAGGTCATTTGCTGCATCTGAGATGTGACCTGTTGACCTGGGGGCACTTGCTGCTGATTGTTTAACTCATGTTGTGTAGTTGTGGCAACCATTTGCTGTTGTTGTTCAGTTTCTGTGACCTGTGGCTCCACCTGTGAAGTGGTTTCTTCAGTAGCAGTGTCTCCTTGATATTTGCCCCTATCTGGATTTCTACTATTTTTATCCCTATAATTTTGTTGTCTATTGTCTTCACTGGCTTTATTTTCATATCTAGTATTTTCCCTATAATTTTCCCGATAGCCCCGATGTGGGCCGCTATAATTTGGTGGATAGTTCTGAGTCTGATTGTTGTTGTTGTAATGACTATTTGATATAACCATTGTATTGTTGCGTCCTCTACCCCTGTTTTCATCATTATATCCTCCCTGTCTCTCCCCCCTTCTGTAGTACCCTGGCTCCCCGCCTCTACCCCTAGGGGGTGGACCCTGGTCATACCTGGGCCGACCTCCCATCTGCCGTTCCTCACTCCTCCTCTGAGGCCGATCCATCATAGCTTTTTGTCTAGGATCGTAATTGTTCATAGATCTTGATTGAGGAGGACCTGGAGGTCGTCGCTCCCGCTCTTTCATTTCATTATTTAATTGAATTTCTTTCTTAATGTCTTTGTGTTGTAGCCGTGGTGGGAGGTTGGACGGTTTGCGAGACTGGTCATTATATAGAGGGCGCTTTTCATCACGTCCTTTCTCTGATGATGAATCAGATTTGTCTGAAATGTAATGAAACATGTTTACATTTTAAGAGGATTACATCACAGAAATACTTCTATATGAGCTGGCTTTTCTTTAACAGCTTAACTGTGAATATTTTCAACTTAGCTGCTTTTATTTTAACATTGTTCCATTTAAAGTAAAAACTTTACCTTCTTTGACTTCTATGTTGGTTTTCTTTACCAGAAAGTCGAAAAGTGTTGCAGGAGCAGATGGCTTGCTTGGCGGCCCATAATCGTCTCCTTCATTTTCATCTCGACCTCGCCTACCCCGGCCTAGTGACATCATAGAATTCAAGATTGAATTTACATTGAATAGTTAGAAATAATCAGTTTCCCTAACAAGCTGAACACATGTATTGCTTCAATTTCGGTCCAGTGGGAGGGGGGTCAATATTTAATTGGAGCACTGCATTTAACTGATTTCATGACAAATATAATGAGATATGAGAGCCTCATTCTATTTCATGTTCATCATCAGAGATGTGTCAGAATGTGAACAGCTGAATATATAATCATTGGCCTAATATAATAATATGGATGATTACATTTTTATATACTATCATGTCAATGCAAGTTGTGAGAAACAAACAGCTCTGGCTCATTGGTTTACCACATTCATTTGTGAGGAATTGTGGGAAATTACCTCTTGTGGCACTGATCAGCCCATATCTTACCTCTATTGTTTTACCATTTATCAAATATATTAATAACAAAAAATAAATTATGTGTAATTACCTCCTCTGTCAGGCCTCTCTGATTTTTCTATGGGTTTACCACGTCCCCGACCATCATCTGAAATGCGATCTGTGTCACGCCGCTCCACATCACGACGTTCATTTTCACCGGGTCTGGAAAGCCGTTCCTCTGATTTTCCCTGGTAACTGTTGCGTTCCCGCTCCTGTGGCGGCCTCTCATTCTGCCGTGAAGAATTTCGATCAGGTCTGTTGTTTTGATATCGCTCAGGTCTTTCTCCTCTATCTTGATATCTATCCCCAGCTCCTCTATTATCATATCCACCTCCCCTGTTATCATATCCACCTCTGTTTTGGTTATCATGTCCCCCCTGGTTTTCATATCCCCCTCTAAATGATTGGGGGTTAACTAGCATTGTAATAGCATCATTAACATTATTATTCGATTGTCTTAAAGCAATTGTGGCCTGTTCTAAAGTAAACCCCATCTCCATGATTCTAGCTATTTCTTTATCCTGGAAACAAAATTCAGAAATAAATAAATGTAAATAGACATTGTAAGTGAATAATTAGAGGGAGGTTTTGGTAATAATATACTGTGTATTTTGACATGGTAGGTTTACTTTCAGGAGTCTATTTCCCAGTTTCATTGCAGTTACATGTACATTGAGCTAAAATGATATGGTAGCCCTCTTTTAAGTAAGTGAGCAAACATTTAAAAATAATTTTAAATCATTTTTTACAATCTGTTTCACTATGTCCTAATTTAGCAAGTGCCGAATGGAGAATAACAAAAGGCTACAACTAAACCACTAGAATTTACCTGCTTTGTCCCTGGACCAAAGTTTTTCCCACCTCCAGTCCCATCTTTTGATTTGGCAATTTCAGCAATCTGAGCTTTTCTTTGAGCCTCAAACTCTCCATCTGATTTTTTAACTTTGTTGGCCTCTAAAGACTTGAATGTATCTAAAACAGACACATTTTATTTAAGAAATATATAACAAAGAGCAGGGGTAATATTGTCAAATACAAAATACACCCTGTAGGGCTAGGCACAAATGTTTTCTGTACGAAAGCGTTGTGCCTAGTTCTAAGGGGTGTATTCGACGATATTACACATGTTGAGTTTGTTTACAGTTTATAGAAGGCGTGAATACAGTCATGTTCGAATTAAAATTACTGTTTTTTTTATTAATATGATTTCCTTAATTGATCTTTAAACTTTTTTGGCAAAAGACTTGAATGTATCTACAACAGGGATAATTTATCTCAAAAGATCATTGTTTTAGCTTTAGAGACATGGATACATCTGAAGCACTGAGAAGTTTAATGAGAATTCAACATTTGTTTTTGTACATTGACAAGAGTTTCACTCAATTCTCTGTTTTTGTGAAAGAGTTATCTGGCCTACTTGAGCATCTCTTACATCTGAATAGAATTCAGGTTTGTGAAAATGTGCGGAAAATTACAGACAACATAGATTTAGTATATTGATTAACACAGTCCACAGACTAGTCAGACTTTCAGTATGAAAGTCAGGGGATCTGCTGAAAATTTGTGATGAATTTGATTTTCTGCTTTTGTTTAAAGAACATACATGGGGTGTGTCATCATGACCTACCTCTGCCCCGGGGGGCTTCATGTTCAGCAGCAATTCTTTTACCAAACTCGACCCATGGTGGAGGTCCCCCATCACTTCCCGTCACTGTGCGGGTTTGTTTAGCTAATGTCTGGAAAAATATCATTATTTTCATTATTTCTTTTGTAAATATTAAAAATTCAGAAATAAGACACACAGTGATAAACATAACAACAATTTATCGAAAAATTCAAAATGGCTGATCGAGTCACTTTAGGAACAAATCTAATGTCTCATATTGTCTTACCCTCTTGAGCTCCCAGTTATCCACTAGCTTATCAACCCTGCCTCCCAGCACCTTTACATTAGCAGGCCTCAACTGTAAGAAGCCAGCTACACTAGGGATCTTTCCAGTCAGCTTTAACTTTGTGCCTGGTGGAGTATTCAGTCTACAATCATATTATAACAAGGCATTAACATGCAAAATTTCATCAACTGCCATTTGGTACAGATGCCAAACATTGTTACAGATACTGAACACCAACCTCCAAACACCATCCACAAAAAGGTTGGAGAATATAACAATATGTCACCATTTCTGGTGTTGACATAACAATTATATTCTATGTACAACAAACATAACCTACTTTTGTAAACGTTAATGTAAAATAATGCAAATTTATAAGCACTCATATAAAATAAAAATAAATATATGATCTTGACCAATTTTGGTAAAAAAGAACACTAGGGTATATTGTCTAGATTTACGTCATACTTTACAGGTAGCGATGTTTGTAAACAAAATCGCAAGATGTTTTGGTGATTTAGTGATAAGTATGTCTGGCCTGAAACTATAAGAATGACATAATGAGCAAGATTCTTCAACTGTTTTAATTTATTTTATTTTTAAAGTGCGATAAAAATATACATACCCTAGTTGAGATATAGTCTCCATAACAAGGCCATTAAGGTTAGTGTAGCCATCTGTAAACGTTACACGAAGTAAAGGTGGCGCTGCATTAGACTCTTCATTGTCCTTAGGGGCAGATACATTGCGAACTTTCTGGACTTGAACTACATATGTACCTTGAAGCTGAAATACACATGCCCTACTTCTATTTAAAGTTTGAATTTCATACTTTAAGTGTGATACCCTGGCCAAGTGTCCTGAACATAGAGACCTATTTACAGCAGCCTTGAAAAATGAGTTGAAATCATCAGTTGAACTATATTCAAATTCTATCACTGTTAAATTATAAGTCTGCTTTAAATGTGTTTATTACCCTTTTGTAGATTATGAATATAGAGATAAATGTGAAAAGATCATGCCTCATTCCAACTTAATGAATCAAGGGAAAAAATGTTAAGTATCATATCCTTATTGAGTAATATATTTTACCTCATTTGCAAAATTACCTCAAGTGAATTTTATTAATACTTACACTTTCTTTTCCAGATTTGACGCCCTCTGAGAGACTTTTGCCCCCAATCAACTTGAAATCACTCTAAAAAACAAAAACAGACTGATATACAATTTATGTAAATGGAAGACATTTTCATAAATGCTTCAAGGGCAGAGCATGGCTATAATTATAAAAGGTGTAATGAAAGTATGGGTCACAATTCATCGTAGTCAGTATTTTATTCACTTTTGAGTGGTAATAAATAAGGATTTCGTCTGGCTAACAAGGGTATTTTGTTTGGTTATCAGTGTTTTCAGTAGGATTAGTAGAAAGTGAGTATCAGGAACTAAATTATTCTTAGAAAGTGTGTCCCACACATAAAACTGTAAAGGTTAAAAGCAATACTTTCACTTTATTTTCATCATACATGTCATTTAGGTGATGGGCTAGCCCTTAAATTGCGGTATGGAGGTAGAATTTTGGAGACCATGCTAGTTACATCCTAATTTGTAATTCTCACCACAATTTGACAATAATTAGGCAAAATTTTACAGCGTTAAGGAAAAATTCAATATTTATACCCCCTGCACGACAAAAGTAGGGGGTACATAGAAAATAATTAATAACTTAACAGAAACATTATGAATAACCACAATTTTTTCAGAATATATGCACATGTATGTCATTGATAACTTGTAAAAAATTGGTGACAATAGGTATGATGGTTGCTATGGAAACATAATTTGATTGTCAAAATTTGCTAATTTGTGTCTATTTTGGGAGGCTCGTTAACGAAAAAATCCTATGTCAGCAAGTTATGCTGCAAAAATAGTATTGTTTTAAGGTCTGGAAATATGTCCTGCATGCATTAAAATTAGAATGATGATTGAGTCTCAATCAAAAATATTTTTAATTTTTTTTTCTTTGACCCACTCCCTCTAAATAATCCAAAGTGGGCGTGGCATTTAACTGAATGATCAAACCTACTTAACAGTAGATAGCTTCAATTCCTATAGCCTGTATTATCACAATTTCAACAGAATGTAGGATTCTGGTATCAGTTACCAGTTTATATGATTTTGTTTATCCCTCTCAATATTTACAACCCCTCCTTCGTCACCACCACCCCTCCCACGTGACAAAAGTAGGGGATACCTTGAAAATGATTAATAACTTTACAACAATGCAGCGAATAACCACCAATTTTTCAGACAGAATAAATGTATATGTCATCAGTAATTAGAAAAATTCTTGGTAATCATAGGTATGATAGTAAAATTCGAAACAGGATTTGATCGTCAAAATTTGTGAAGATATTGAGAGGGGGGGCTGGTTCACAAAGAATACTATGCTTGCGAATTCTTCTTCAAAATTACCATTGTTTTAAGGTTTAGAAAACTGCATATGTCCTGCATGCATTAAAACTGAAATGATGATTGGCTTTCGATTGATTTTTTAGATTTCACTATGACCAAATCCCTCTTTATTATCCAAAGTGAGTGTGACATTTAACTTTATGATCAAACCTACTTAATAGTTCAACATTTCTACAGAATGTAGGCATCAGTTAACTTTTATCATTTTGTTCATCCCCAAATATCTATGCCACTCCCCTCGTATTAACGTACTAAAAATTACACATGTATATGTCATTAGTAACTGGAATAAAAATTACACATGTATATGTCATTAGTAACTGGAAAAAGATTAAGGTGATTATAGGTTTGATGGTTGCTATGGAAAAGGATTCGATTGTCAAGCAAAGGACCGCATGTTGTTTGTAGAATAAATCAGGGAAGTTTTTCATGCATTTTGCTTGTGTTTTTATCTTAAAAACATCAATACACTTTAAACTATTTTATTGACTATAAGACTGCACCATATAATCCCCAAAAAATATTTCTCTTTTTCAAGGATTACCTAAGAACTAGACTTTTGAAGATTGCAAGCAATCTCACGGAGGCCCTCTTAGGCATTTTTGACAATTTGAAGGTCAACTAAAGGACAAATATCAAATCTGAGGTCAGATGTGAACTCCTGAGAACTTGTAGATGATTTTCAAAAAACGATTTTGTCAATTTGAAGCGAGTTTAAATTTGACCTTGAAAAATTTCGAAATTGACCTTTTTTCAGCTTTTGAACTCTTATATCTCAAACTGGGACAAAATTCCATTAGAAAGTCAATTGCTAATATGTGTAGAACCCTTAGAGGAATGTGTATATTTCGACTTCGGATTAAAAATATCGGTTTGTAGTCTCGAACTTTGCGAAACTTAGATAGCAAAGTTTGTGACCTAATTTCATGATCTTGACCTTTGACCCTGAAAAGTTTTACTTTTTTAGACCTCAGTAGGTCTTTTGTAATTAGGCTGACCTAAATTTGAATCCAAAGACTCAATTTGAAAAATCAACTTTTTTTACCTTTCGAAGGTCATTGAAGGTCAACTAAAGGTCAAAGGTTTAATCTGAGGTCAGATTTGGACTCCTCGGAACTTGTAGATGATTTTTTAAAAAAAAATTGGTCAGATTGAAGCAAGTTGAAAAATGACTTTTTTTACCTTTTTTGGCGTCAAATATCTCAAAAATGGTAAAAATTTAATGCTGACATATTGTAAACAATTTGTAGAGAATACTAAAATGTAGTTTCAGTTTAATTCATCGCAAGAAATAATGAAGTATAAGGACAAAGTTGAGAAACTTGAAAAAAATGTAGATTTGACCTAGATTTTGACCTTTGACCTAATTTGATAACCGTGACCCTTGACCTTGAAAATTTTACTGCTTTAGAGCTCAGTAGGTCTTTTATGATTAGGCTTACCCTAAATTTGAATCCAAAAACTCAATTTGAAAAATCAACTTTTCTGACCTTTAGAAGGTCACTGAAGGTCAACTAAAGGTCAAATGTCAAATCTGAGGTTAAATATGAACTCCTGAGAAGTTGTAGATGATTTTTTAAAAAAAGTTGGGTGAATTTGAAGCAAGTTAAAATTTGACCTTATAAACTTTAAAAAATTGACCTTTTTCAGTTTTTGAGCTCTTATATCTCAAAACCGGGACAAAATTTTAATAAATAGTCAATGACTAATATGTGTAGAACCCTCAGAGGAATGTACATCTTGACTTTCAATTAAAAATATTGATTTGTAGTCTTGAACTATGAGAAACTTAGATAGCACAGTTTGTGACCTAATTTGATGACCTTGACCTTTGACCTTGAAATTTTTACTTTTTTAGACCTCAGTAGGCTATTTGTAATTAGATTGACTCAAATTTGAATCCAAAGACTCAATTTGAAAAATCAACTTTTCTGACCTTTCGAAGGTCACTGAAGGTCAACTAAAGGTCAAAGGTTAAATCTGAGGTCAGATTCGGACTCCTGGGAACTTGTAGATGATTTTTAAAAAAAAAATTGGTCAGATTGAAGCAAGTTGAAAAATGACCTTTTTTGACCGTTTTTTGACGTCAAATATCTCAAAAACGGTAAAAATTTAATGCTGACATATAGTGAACAATTTGTAGAGAATACTTAAATGTAGTTTCAGTTTAATTCATCGCAAGAAATAATGAAGTATAAGGACAAACTTGAGAAACTTGAAAAAAAACTTAGATTTGACCTAGATTTTGACCTTTGACCTTGACCTAGATAAAAAATATTTTCCCCCCTATTCCAGCCAAGGTTACTAGTAGGATCATATAGTAGGTAGTTGAAAGGTAGTTGGAAGTAGGAGAAAAATGCTTTGGAAGAATAATAAATAAAGATTAAAGAATAAAGAATAAAGAATAAAGAATAAAGAAAAGCTACAAAAGCTATAGGAGGCCCTTTCAGGAGGGCCTCCTAATAAACACCCAGGTTTTTTATTTTTCAAACTTCAGAGGGCTGGGAATCATTGATTACGATCATATAAATGCTGTTTTAAAATAGGTTTAATGTATGCCAATAATTTCTCAAATTGTGTAAATGGTACCCATTCCTTATTCCCTAGAATTTTCTCTTTGAGAAATTTCCCATAGCAATCCTATGGTATCCAAGCAGATTTTGAGATAACAGGAAAGTGAATCATTAATACACACCTCATTGGGTTGTGATATAAACCAAAACAATAGTCAATAAAATGTTTTAAAGAGTATTATATCTTCTGACATTGCTTAGCGTAGATACAATATTTTCTGGTGACAAATCTTAGCTAGATGATGGGGGGGGGGTGTATTATGAAAGGAGGTTATGGGGTAGGTACAATGCTGGTATAAAAAGATTTAGTCCCAAACATGTTGTTTATGATGATCATAGATGAAGATAACGGTCCACGTCCATTTGACAGGTTCACAGGCAACAGTACAGTAAAATTACATACAGTTGTGTATCTCTAACAGTATCATATGGTACCTTTTGGGCTATGGTACTGTATGATACGGTAATATATGGTACCATAGACTAAAATGGTATTGTACAGTACCATGGACACTGTATAGCACCAGAATAGAATGGTACTGTACGGTACTATTAATGTACCAAAAGTGCTGATTAGTGGTGTTTATCAAGCAATTTGATATCACAGACTCCTATGCATATCATCAGGACTTCCAGCATTTACTCAAGTCAAAAAATCCACCCAGTGTTAGGAGCTATGGCTTATCAAGAATTTGTTAAATGCCTGTATTAAACCGTTTGATGCGCCCAAATCAAGATGAAGAAATAAAAACTCATGGAGAGCCATAGAATCATGGAAAGCTAATTAGGGCAGATTCCATGGTCCTTAGCAAAAAGCAAATTGCAGTTATTCAGGGAGAAGCGTGTGTCACAACTTACAAAACAGTGAAAGTGTTAGTGGCAACATGTCCTTTTACCAAGTAGCCACATTTCAAACACATTTCGTTTAATATAAGTTATTGAATGATTTGAAATGCAATACAGTATATATTCTGCTCGAGAAATTCTGTGTTGGAACGAGACAAAGTCGAGTGCCAATACATAATATCGAGAGCAGAATATATCCTGTATTGCACATCAAATCATTCTATAACGTTTTTATCGTGTGGTCTTAGGCCAATACATTTTACTCAGGAGGTAATTCCTTTGAAATATTCTGTATTGCTACTGAGATTGTCCCCTCTGTACCAATATTTTTTGAGTTGCTACGGAGATGATCAATGAGGACAATCTCAGTAGCAATACAGATTGGTACAGCACAAGAACTGACAAATCAGAGGGCTTCATTTTACAGATCAAACAATAAGTAAGCTGAATACTCTCCAGATTCATGGAATTTTGAAATCATCAAGGATTCCAATTCTTCTTTCATGACTTTATGACTTACTTTTTTTTACTCTGAAGGCTTTGTTGAAACTTTTTCCACTACCATCAATTTAACTGCATATATCTAAGATTCTATAAGTATGTCCTCGAACCCTTAATCTCATATATCTTCCCACAGCACAAAAGAATATGGAATATCCCCAATCTAACGAAAGCATTGCAGTGAAACAGTATCAGGCACTATTATAAACCTTTTTTTCTGCCGCTAAAACAAAGTTTATTAATATCACCTATTATTATAACCTCATCAAAAAATTTATCTGTGAATGACACCCTATCATTATTTCAGTTTTAATGTATGTAGGAGACAGTTCCTAAACCTTAAAACAATGGTATTTTGCAGCATAATTTACAAGGATATGATTCTTTATGAACTAGCCCCCCCCCCTACCCCCACCCAATCTACACAAATTCAAAACAATCAAATCCTGTTTCTATAAAACCATCAAGAATTATTTCAAATTACTGATGACATATACATTTATTCTGTCTGAAAAATTGGTGGTTATTCGTTGCATCGTTGTAAAGTTATTAATGATTTTCAATGTATCCCCTGCTTTTGTCATACGGGAGGGGTGGTGGAGGAGGGAGAGGGGTTATAAATATTGAGGGGGATAAAAAAATCATAGAAAGTGTTAACTGATACCAGAATCATACCTTCTGTTGAAATTGTGAAAATACTTGCTATACAATTGAAGATATCTACTGTTAAGTTAGCTTGATCATTCAATTAAATGCCACGCCCACCTTGGATTATTTAGAGAGGGTGGGTCATAGAAAAAAAGATTTAAAATATTTTTGATTGAGACTCAATCATCATTTTAATTTTAATGCATGGAGGACATACATATGCAATTTTCTAAACCTAAAAACAATGCTATTTTTGCAGCATAACTTGCTGACATAGGATTTTCTCATTGACTAGCCCCCCAAGATAGACATAAATTAGCAAATTTTGAAAATCAAATTCTGTTTCCATAGCAACCATCATACCTATAGTCACCAATTTTTTACCAGTTATCAATGACATATATGTGCATATATTCTGAAAAAATTGTGGTTATTCATATTGTTTTTGTAAAGTTATTAATTATTTTCTATGTACCCCCTACTTTTGTCGTGCGGGGGGTATAAATATTGATTTTTTCCTAAACGCTGTAAAATTTTGCCTAATTATTGCCAAATTGTGGTGAGAATTACAAATTAGGATGTAACTAGCATGGTCTCCAAAATTCTACCTCCATACCGCAATTTAAGGGCTAGCCCATAACCTAATTGGTTCTCACTATTCAAAATCAAGCAGTTGATGAGCTACCTATAAGATCGATAAATCTGCATTTTACTTACATCTAGAGCAGCTTTGATTATGTCTTGTATGCCTGTCCTTCCATCTTCTGAGCACTCAGCGATACCATCAGCTGACAAATACCTGCAATAAAAGGGAGTATAAGCCATAAATACTAGTTTTCCATAATTCTGTGCTGCGGATGGACTTTGAAGAATCACCGAAAATTACGCAGAATCAATTTTCCCCTTGCAGAATTTTGATTTTCTCATACAGAAAACTAGTATGTGTGTTAAGTATACTGACAAATACCAGCAAAAAAGGAAGAATATGCTTACAGGTAAAAACATGAAATACTAAATGTCTGCCTATCTACCTCAGTTGGGAGAGCATGTTGATATTCGAATGAATGCATCTAAGTTCCGGATTCAAATTATTGTTTAGCCAAATTTGTTCAAATATAAACAATTTAGTAATTTAAGTTTTGTATAATCAAAGTTTACATAATGTCTCTTCCGTAATTACAAATCATCATAATGTCTCTTCATAATTACAAATTATCATCAGCGCTCTTTCCAAGATTTTTTGTGGGGAGGAAAAAGTGCAACATTTAAGTTTTTGTATTTTTGTGATTTTCTTAAACATTTTAAAGTTATGGAATGCACAAATTGCTATTATTCAGAGATTTCAATGTCAGGAGAGCACTGACTAGTATAGTTCAACAAGTTAAACCCAATACCACGGCTTTCATTTATTAATCTGAATGTTCTTGTTACCGTGGTTGGGTTTAACTTCTGTGCTATGCCTTCATTTGATGCAAATTCTCACTACCAGTTATGAATTAAACGCGCATAAAATTCTATGCGCTACCATAGGCCACCATTAAAATTTTTGCATCAAGGGCCGAATAGGCACGGACGTTAAACCTAGGGCGGGCCACAAGATATGTCAGATGAGAAAAAAGGCCCAGACTAGGTTTAACTTGTTGAACTATGACTAGTATAGTCAGGATGGCCTCTCGACAATGGTTTAAAGCTAAAATAAATGCTAATACTGAGTGACTTTGATGATCATCTTCCCCTTAGACACCCTAAATGCGCCGTGGGAGTTTAGTGACTTTGAAAATTTCGTGGGAGTTTAGTGACTTTGAAAAACTCCCCCTCCTTGTTTTATCTGTCACATAGTCTAATGCTACCAAAGTTGATCAGCAATACAGGAAATATTTTCACCAACATGTACTTTTAAAATTAGTTGGCAACATATTCTCTCTTTATAATTTTTTTATGCAACTTCCAAATTCTGCCGTAGGAGATAGTCTCAAAGAAAAAATCCCAATATGCTTTATCCAATCCCTTGAGTATTTCTAAAGAAAAACGAACAGGTGGTAATAGGATGGTACTAATATCTTCTCTGAACTGGACTCATATCAATAGATCCCTCATGGTGCATGCTTACTCATTCAGTTGATTCTATTTTATTTGGTTATTTGACAAACAAGTGGCAATATCAATGACACTTTCTCAACGTCATTCATTTGTTACGATTGCCATTTTTGCCTATCAATAATTTTTGGCATGTCACAAGTCTATATAATCAGAGACTTAATACTGCCAGATAAGACTTTTACTTTTGCTCAATCATTTAGCCTTTGCATTGCTCAAAACTTTATCTTATATAGTATCGCTATCTTTCTTCCTGTAAAACTAATAATTTAATTTGCTGTTCGACAAAGCCGAATGTCACTTTTAACATCACCACCGAGCTCACAAATCTAAGTTGATAAGGTGAGGTCTAGGGAGATGTACAACTGCAGTATAGATAGCATTGACCTGGTGCTACTATATAATTATGCTGTATGCATAGTTCAAATAACTCTCACATTGTATTAATTACATGTAAATGTCAAAAATGAAAAGGGATGTAGAAAAAAGAGTGTGTCAAATTTTTTTCTGAACATGTGACTTGGAATTGTCAATAACTTGATAAATAAGAGGAATTTGGCCTTGAAAATTGTTGAACTTGATCATGGAAATATGTTCCATAAGTAGAATGTTGACATATTGTTATAACTCAATCGTGGTCCTAGTTGCAGACTCAACTTACCAGCCTTCGTTTTTCAAGGCAACATCTGCCATGTTGGTTCCTTGTGAATGTAACGCTTAATTTGATTGGCTGATGACTTCTGTCAATTTTTATAATCTAAATAATTATACATGGTCATTATTACTGGTGAAATATGCAGAAATTTATCTATCAAAATTATAGACAAAAACAAAATTACGTATGAATCACGATTAATATGAAAACAAGCTGTTAATAAGAGGTATTTTATTTTGTCACGTGACCAATACTCTGGGAAGTGTTTGAAAGCTGTATTTTGATTGGTCGATGATTCAAAAGTGTCTTGGGTGTTTTCAAAATGGTGGGACAAGATTTGAAAAATTAAATGTTAGACAAAATACGAAATTGAACGAGGATTTACACATTACACTTGGATACGATTATACAGACAACAAGAATAAAACATATAGATTATTGTTTTGATAGTTTGTCGGAGAAAATCATGAGCAGAGGAATAGTTTGACAACTTTTTATTACAGTGATTCAAAAATATCTCAGAAAAATTCTGTGTTCCAAACAGCAGATTTGAAAAAGCTCAAATCATTGTAAAATGGATTATTGATTTATAACCTAGCTGTGCCATAAAAGACTTCTAAAATGGAACCCAAGAAGGACAAAGAGAAACGCAGCAGTTTTGTAAGTATAGTTCTGAAGAAACTCCAACTGTGTTTTCAAGTTCGACTTCGAGTTCAGGACTTTCATGTGATGCTATCAGTGTAATCTGCAAATCTTTCAGAATTGTTGAAATTCGATGTATTGAAAAAATCCTGTGGAGATTAGTGATCTGCGGTATTGCCGGAAATACCGTAATGGTGACATTCTGGCCTACTGTACCTAATTCTGGTACTGAAATTCCAATACCGAATACCGGAATATATAAAGAATCAATTAAAGTAGTAACCAAACCCGTCTGGCCCAGTTATCTACTCTCGATATCGTAGATCTAGGCCAGACAAGGTCCAATGCAAAAAAGGGGGGATTTACTCAGGAAAAAACATGTCGCTGAATCATCACTTATTATTCATTCCCTATTAGCCATCCAACCAAAACATCGGGCTACATGTAAACCCAAGTATTTATTTGAAATAAAGAGTACATAACTTACACGTAAATGTGGTGTTTTGTTTGTTATTTTGATGTTGAAATGGGCACAACATTTCGTCAATATTTCGTCAGTTCTCCGCACCGAATAAAGTCACGGGATGTGACGTAACACGAGTGTGACGCGATAATTTCTAAACTTTCATGGAACGAAAATTCATTTCCCGGGAATCAATACATTCCAAATATTACGATTTGTTCAGCAGATTTGTTATCAAAACGTAGATTACTCTATAAAACAGACGTATCTGTGTTGTATTTAGACTGAAAAGAAATATGGTGGACATTAAATACGATTTTTCAATTTGTTGAACTGACCGAATGTAGTACTGAACGAAATATGCAGCATCAAAATAGGATATGAAAGCACATCCCTTGCATTGGTTTTACATACACTTTATTCTTACTCATTCTTTTATCAATCAACAATCAACAACAATTGCAATTTTATTCAACATTCATTTAGTCAACATACATTTACAACATAACTATAAGTGTATTTCTTATTTATTAGCCGTCATCCAGCGATGGAAACCTAATATAAATACAAAGTTTGATACAAGGAACAAACACGTAAGTGACTTTTGTGATGTTTATTCATTTATCAGCACGTATTATACATTGAAAAACAAGTGTGTTTTTTCCGGAGTAAATACCCCATTTTTGCATTGGACATTGTCTGGCCCAGATCTACGAGGTCGGGAGTAGATAACTGGGCCAGACGGGTTTGGTTATTAAAGTAGGTGTCTTAATTCAAAGCAGGAATTATCGATAAACAGGCAAGATATTGATAAATCATGGCCATAAACCTCGTTTTGTATGAAAATGGAGTAAATCCACCGAATGTACAAATTTGCTAACGTGAACCAAAAAATCACGATATTCGGAAACGGTAAGGTATTGATCTCCTTTTGGAACACAAGTGGAGATCACTGCATTTATAAAGTGCCATCATGTCGTTTGTTTTTGTTTTCTTTGTCATTGCCATTTAGTCACATTTTATTTTTTCTAATCTCACTGTCAAGTCTTTAATGTTGACTTATTGGTAAAACACTGATTGCTATGACATTGAAAAATTCTATGATTTTCCCCCTTCCTGGTCAAGGATGAAACTAGGTTTGGCTAGTTATGTCACCACCAAAAAGTGGTGACATATTGTTATGGTGTTTTGTGACAGAGATCACAGTTGATGATCAGCGGTTGGCGTCTGTAACAAATGATGATGACATTTTGCTTGTGAATGCCAATTGTTTTATGTCTTACTAATCTAAGTATTTAGGATGGCCTCCAGAACAGAATTCATGAACTAAATAGAGTTACACGTATCGTCATATGCCTATGAGAGAATTGTTTAGTTTTCACCTCAGATGATCAAGTAAAATAAATATGGCCTTCATCATTTTAGATTCATTTCAATCACTCCAAAGAATGTTGGGATGTTATGTTTATATATTTGTTTTAGGGATTTATATATGAACAAGGTCACTGGTCAGACCCATACATATCAAAACCTGATCTATTAAGCATACATTTCATGAACTGTACTTTAAATTGTTGTTATTAAAGTTTACAGTAGCCTTACCCCCCCCCTTCCCTCTGTACTTCACCTTCCTAACATAACACAGGTGCTGTACAAAAGGGAGGGGGAGGTATACAGTCTTGAGACAAGTTTAAGTTTACAGCAAAATTTCTTGAAATCTTGTTCAGTGGATACACGTAGTAAAGTTAGCTTGCCAACATCAGTATATTCTCAAATGCTCAATTACAATATTCTCAAATGTTCAAGTACAATATCAACAGATCAGTCCACTCCACTCAGATAAAACTTGACATATATTATCACCAGGACTTTGGACAGTGGTCAAATCTTTTGAAGTGCGATTTAATTTATTTCTCAGGAAATTTGTTGTAGAATGATCTGTCTCCATTTATATTTCTGCTAAGATACAATGAAATTTTAAGAGTTGACTTAAGTTTACCGGGATTATAAACTTTCATTAACTTCTCTAAAAACCTGATATTAAACAGCCAAAGAGACATGTACATATATTTGGCATGATGTAAACATGTACATCCAGACATGTGATGTACAGTCCATATGTATGTAAACTGTACTTATAATAAACCATCAATTAACATATTGAGTAAAAGCCAATTACAAAAAGATAATTGCCTATTATTGCAATCATAGAATTATGATATACAAATGCGTCTACCCTTTGCATTCGTGCGACTTCACTTCTTAAAAGAGGGCTTCGTCGTAGTTCAACTAGACTTTGCATGCAGGGTAAAATGCGTCAGGCCCGTAGCCAGAATTTTCTAAGGGGGGGGGGTTCACTTTTCCAAAAAATTCTAGGGGGGGTCCACTTTGGTAAATTTGGCCAAAAATCACTCAAAAATAGTCAGAATTGTGAAAAACTGCATGACCCCCCCCCCTGGCTACGGGCCTGTGCATACCTAATTGTAATTTGAATGGTTTCTCAGACAAACACTGTAATTACAGTACAGTTAAACTTGTATACAGGGTTAAAGCCAAAAAAGGTAGCCCAAACAAATGTTAATAACTCTATCATTCAGCATGGATTCAAAATCATATTTGGCACAATCGAACCTTGTTCAATGTTCTTTCATTCTATATAAGTTTCATTGATCTATTTTTATGGTCATGATTTTACAGCCATTTTAAAAATCATGGTTTTAAATGACACATTGAGAGGTCTTGTATATACAGTATCCCCCCCCCCCTTCAATAACATAAATCATGGGGAGGAGAAACTAGAACTCCACACACTTTTAAAATGGAAGTAGATACATATACGGGTATTAAATATTCTCCCTTTATAAAGCAAGTTATTGATATTTCAAATGATACTGGATCAGTTTAAGTTATAAAGTAAAAGCCCTTTTTGAGATCAATATTGACTTAATTCAATTTAATAAACGTATGCATTTCAATAGACCACTTGTGTTTGCAATATGCATAGAATATAGCATATATAGTAATAGATGCTCTATACCAGTGTAATTCATATCAGTAAATGATTGAATTGATCAAAATGAACAACTGGTCCAGTTGATATATCTGATTGAATTACAATCAATTAGAAATGATGGCAAATCCCTAAATGATTTATATCTTTAGGAAAACTACTGCTTAGGGTTGTTACTTACTGATGTTGCGTTTTTTAAGTGTCGCATATTCACTAACCTAAATAGATATTTGTAAAAAGTACATTATAGTGAAACCTTTATATCAGAACTCTTCCATAATCCGAACACCTCCCAATGTGAACATTTTTCTCTTCCCAAATTGTCACCCATTGACTTACAAGTTTATTAAACCTTGAAATGTGAACACCTGCTAATCTGAACACTTTTGGCTTGTCCTAGAGTTGGTTAGTCTATACCTGTAATGGTGTATTATAAAGTAACATCTAAAGTATATCAAGCATTCTTGATTCAAGAATATATGTAGTACATGTACAGTACTACATATATTTCATTTAATAATTTTTTCATTTTCAGCTCGATAAAATTGGTGGAACATTTACAAAAGGGAAGAAGGAAAAATTTAAAAAAGAGAAAGAATCTGTTCCGTCTGCTGTGCGTACTCACTCTGAGGATTATGGGAGTGATGGCACAGCCGATGCGGATTCGCAACAGATCGTCAACCGACTTACGGATGATGAGGTCAAGGCAAAGTTTGAGCAAATGCTGGTAAGTACTTCCATATTAATTTTTTATCTTTTTTTATTAATGGTTTATTTCCATAAAAAATATAAACACATGTTGCGGCTTTGCAATACAGCATAATAAGCCACAATTAAGTAATGAAATTCAAAAAAGAAAGAATGTCTCAATAAAACTTCCATATAATAAGCCAAAAACATTAGTTTAGCACCCCCTCCCTTGGCAAGTGTCATTGTAATCTGTAGCAAACAAAATGTGATCCCAGTTTTGAAAAAAATGATCTGATTGCTCAACTGGGTGCAAATTCTCAACTGGGTGCAAATCAATTTTCAACTCGGTGCAGTCGGTTTTCTTTGATACTGCTTTATATACTGCAGACTCGAGAGATTCATATGCTTTCATACAACTATGTTATAAATAAGAAATGACATCATGTGTTATGATCTGGTCTTTTTCACTACTTGAGAATCTCATAAAACACAGAAAGCCTTTCTAAAGTAAAAAGTGATCTCTTGCTGTTATATTCTCTATATATTTCTACCAGAAAGAGTTATGTTAAAAATGATACTTTTGAAAGAGATCATGATACCCAAGTGAGGTTTTCAGACTTTATTGCCATAAATACTACATAAATGAACTTCAATTTTTATGTCTATATTTTAAATGCTTCCAACATCCTTGTTCATAAGCTTAACTAAGTCAAAATAACTGAACATACTTACAAAATAAATGGTTGCTATAGAGACTAATGAAATCAATACAGCGTTTGACATTTGCAACTTTTAACTGGAGAAAGTTCTTCACGTCCAAGCAAGGCATAGTACATGTACTTGTTTTTGGAAAGATGCAGCCAGTTTCTAGACAAGTTTATATCCCTTTTTTGCACAAGTGCAAAGCCAGTTTCTTGAATTGAAGTCTTGTCTCTATACTAATAACAAGGCAATTTTTGCATTTTTGTAGAAAATCTGCATCACAGAAATAGATTTTAAATTATGATTCTGGTGTGTTTTGGCAAAGTGGGCTAGTAAGGTTATATCAAATTTGGAACTACGAGGTTTGGTGGTCCTACAGTTGACTACATGTAGATTTCCATACTGGTCCCTTAGTAGATATATTCATTCAGTACTATGATGCACCTTAATGATGTCATGCTTAAGGATAATTTTGTTGTGATAATGATTCCTGAGTGGTAGGGAGAGAGATGTCAGATCTTGTTAATTTTTAGGTTATACCATTTTGGGATATTGTGGTTTTTCTCACTACTTGCTGCGCTCTTAGATGTTTCTTTTTTCATTGTGTTTTGTAAAACTCTTTCCGATATTTTGGATTTGGTATCAATTGTGTTCTATATCGATGGATAACAAGCTTGATCCCGCAATTTTATTCGTAAACAGTCCCAATCATCTTATATTCATCAAAATTCATAACCAACAGTATACTGGTAGAATAACTTGGATATTGAATTGGGAGAAACTCAGAAACTCATTTAGGCATTAAGAAGTTTGTATAATTCCTAACTTAACTGAGAAATTGGATTATGGTAGATTTGTTCTTAATGGAAATAAGCATTGGAGAATAAAGCTATTTGCAATACTTCATTATTATACATAAGAAGCCCATTAATGTGACTTCGCTATTCTACTGTTAATAATAGAAATAAGACATTTTTGTCCTTTAGCAAGTATACTGTCTTCTGCTCTAACTCCATAAGTTTTTATCTTTAACCTTAAAGTTGTTGTTTTTTGATCAGGAAGAGAAAAGAAAAAAATATACATAACTGTACACTCAAAAGTACAAATCCTGACACTAGTACTGGGATATTAAAATACATAAAAGATTATTTATTTTTAATAATTTTTTTCTAGTAAACTATTAAAACAAAGGACTGACACAGAGTAATATTTTTATGTTGCCTTAACGGGAGTTTTATCTTCTGTGCCATTACCATCTATTATATTACTATCTGCAAAGAGTCTGTAATAAAAAATGTCAAAATACAACAAACGCGTACATATCTATAAGATACAGGGAGTTTATGCTTGAGTTTTCAGTTTCATATCAGCCTATAATGAATCATAACTGAGTTGCCTTACACTTCCTTATCAACATTTGTTTTTTGATCAGGTGTTTGAACTTTCTTTTTTATGTTATTTTCTCTACTGTCTCTACACCTCAAGAATAATGGTTATAATTGAATAATCACTGATCTCCCCAGAACTTTGTCTCAGGTGGGTGCAAAATTCTCATTTTCACAATTCAGACCAAAATTGGTCAAGATATGCCAATTCTTCATGATTTTTCTCATTTTCAAGTGGGTGCAAATGGATTTTCAGGTGGGTGCAAGCCTATTTTCAAAATCTCATGTGGGTGCTGCGCCCACTTGGTTTAATGCTGGGGAGATCACAGATAATTATAAGAAATGTTACGTTACATTATAGTTTTAAGAAATATACGAGTATGAATTATCTACAGTGTAAGTATTATCAAAGTGTATGAATCGTCCACAGTATAGGAAGTTTCAAAGTTTGCTTTCTTCAAAATAAGAATATCTCCACATAGCCCTTTCAGCTAATTGCAGTTGAATATTTGCTTTCCTTATCTGTATTATGTTAGCTGTTAGAACTTTTTTATAATGCTTGTTTTCAAAAATAATGGTTAATATTGAAGATCAATCCGTTTCTCTGTTAATTTGTCACTGTGATTCTTAACAACATGAGTTAGCTTTTTACAAACATCTTCAGGGTAACAAGACCAATTATAAGATTTAGGGCAATTGTAGATAAAGCTCCCTTTTAAGAAGCAAAAATTAGAGGCAAAATGAATTATATCCTCTGCCTATGCAACGTGATAAAGGTTCAGCATGATTTTTATCTTTTTTAAATTAGAAGTCATGTCATTGATTGCCTCAGGCTCTACCTACTCATATCATTTGTAGTATTGTTGATGTTGTGAAAGTAAATAAAGGTCACTTTATGTTATTAAACCATTCTAGCTCTGATTCTTTCATCATTGCAATATAAACATAAACAATACATAGTGAAATTACGTACAGTTAACAGAGATTGTCCATCCTTGACATTCAAAACTCTCATTATGTCACTACCACAAAGCCTCTCATTATGTCACTACCACAAAGCCTCTCATTATGTCACTACCACAAAGCCTCTCATTATGTCACTACCACAAAGCCTCTCATTATGTCACTACCACAAATTGTTAGCCTCCAAATTTATTTTTGGTTGGTGTTTGGCAGTTGGCATTCAGAGTTCAGCATCTGCAACAAATGGCAGGTGGTGACATTTTGCATTTTAATGCCTTGTCTACTCTTTGGAGAGAAGATGTTGAGTAAATGATATCTGAAGCCCTTGTTTGGAGGATGGAGGACGAATAAGACCATTCAAATACATAGGCTAGACAATGGTGGCATGCCATGCTCTAAATGCCTGACAATTGCCTTGCTTTAAATTGATGACTTGATTGAAGTAGCTTAAATTGTGTCAAAAAGAAATAAGAAAATATCTGAAAACTAGATTTCCTTGAGTAATATGCCCTATAAACGTAATGATTCATTGTTTATAGATTTTGTCACTTTAAATCATGAAATCATCTTATGATTAGTATTGTCATGATAGTAATTTCTTAATGAACATCTTGGTCAAAAGCTTGTATGTAAATAAAATAAAAAATAAAAAAATAAAATAAAAAATAAAAATAAATAAATAAAAAAAGCTTGTATGTAGTACAATATTTCAGCCTTCCCCCCAAGCTGCTTCCTTTCCTTTTACTCATCACGAAGGGTGAGAAACATTCAAATATTAATAAAGCCAAATCAAAACAACACTTAATACAACTGATAATGTTACAGTCATATTTGCCTTTGGATATAAGTTTCACCTTATGTCAAAAATTATCATTATCATTACGTAGGAAGATTCATAAAAATGTGTAAATTGCTTGTGTTATGTTACTGTTTTGAATAATTATATGATGATATATTGTTGAATGTAGGTGTTACATGCTCTGGTTTCCAATGAAGTTTTTGTCTCCAAAGTGATCTCTTGTTGCCTTTATTAAATTCATGGACAAGGCAAGATGTTTTATTTCATTGAGTAGAAGTTCTAACTTTAGAAAAATCAAAATATTAGAGTGGTTCAAAGTAAAAGGCCTGTAAGAGTACTCTCTTTTTTATGTCACCACCACAAGTTGTGACATATTGTTGTAATCTCTAACTTTTTTGTGGATGGTGTTGGGTAGTTGGTGTTTGGCAGTCAGTGTTTGGCTGCCTTGTGTTCGGCAGTTGGTGTCTATAACAAATGGCAGGTGGTGACATTTTGCATGGAAATGCCTTGTTCTTTTAGTATTGTGATAACCCAACAGATTTACTTATTTGTTTGCTGATATTCAGTAATGTCAGTTCAATGTCTCACCACTGTTGGGTTTCACTTAATGTTGTTTATATACTCACATACATGTTTAGATCGTTATTATCCACTAAAGTGTCCTATTCTAGTAATTTGTGGATATTGTTGCTCCCGTTCGTACTTTTGGCGTAATTCTCGAACTATTCTTAGTTCCGTTCGTACTTTTGACGTAAAAAGGTCAAGGTTACTGTCGTAGTTTTCTGGTCTAAATTTCACCCTGTTTACTATGTTTTATCATTAATCTAGTAGGATATGCACATAATACGTAAATTAAGCTCTCTATAGGTAGTTCAAACTTTGCAATTGGTCCCGTATTGGCGAAGTTATGGCCGTTTTTGTGGATTTACATAAGTTCGTAATTTATGTAAGTCGCTGCGCATGCGTAGAAGACAGGTAGCCATCTTATGTTTTTCGAGTAAATCATTCGTGATTTGCTCCGCTATCTTCACTCAAAATGTCGCTATTGTTGACCGTCGAGGTGTCTAAACTGTCTCACGATTTACACCAGTAAGTCGTCCGTCCACATGAGGTGATTACAACAGGATTTGCACGAAGTCTGACCCCCAAATCAGGCTTGAAGTTTGAGGTTCACCCCTCCCACATGAC